CCTCGGGGGACCGGGGGGGGGGGTGTTTTTGAGGGTAGGACACGGCCTCTCTCTCCCTCACCACAGCTGTTCTCACAGCTGCACACTGGAAGGTATTAATAAAAGTGATTCGTGTCTGATCCCACCTGGAGCTTCTGCCCTACCTGTTCTGGTGGAGACTTGGGTGGGCAGGGTCCTACCTGTGGCCATGAAGCGGTGGGTGGCCAGCAGAAGCTGTGGCGAGATCTTCACCCTCATCTCCGAGTCAGAGAGCTTGAACAAGGAGAAGTCATGCCGCTTCCTCTCCCGGTGTGGTACCCTCTGCTTTTTCCGATTGTCGGCTACAGGGTCACAAAGGACAGATCGCAGCCATTTCAGAGTTATTGTTGGTTTTGGAGGTCTTCCCAGAGTCCCAGGGCACAGACAGATCTTTGGGGACCATACAAATTCCTGCAGCATCAACGACAGGTGACATTACATCTCTTTTCCAGGGAGCTGAAGGACGTTGACAAGGGACAGAGGAGGGAGACCGCTATGGTCAGCTCCGCGATTTACAACTTTGGTGGGAAATACTGGAAAAGAAGGAAAAGCTAGCTGGCTCGGGACTCCACGTCTAGGACCCAGGACTGACTTCCCTGCTCACCAGCCGTGCAATCTCTCCGAGCATCAGAGCTTCTGTTTGCTTCCATCCAAACAAGGAGGCTGAGACTGTTTAGTACTAGCTCTTCAACTCCTCTCATACAGGGACTGGACCCCACTGAAACTCCCTGTGAAAGTGCTTACACGAAGCCACACCGACATGAGGGACTTGCATTCTTCACATCAAGGGGGTGATGGGGTTCAGAGAAGTTCTGCCTCTGTCCCTCATTCCTCAGAACCGGGCTCACGTGGGCTCCTCCTGCAGATTTAGGCCATGCTCTGAGTGGTACTGAGGCATACTACCCTTGGGAGAGGGTGTCACCACCTCCCACCACTCAATTCTCCTGCTTCAGCCCCAGCTCCTCTAGTAAGAAATAGGGGAAAATATGGATGAAAGGGAGAAGAAATAGCAATAGACCTGTAATCCATAAAGACGGGTTCTCTGGATAGAGCCCTTCCATAGGGCCTAGAACCCCCAAATGCCTATATAGTGGGCACTGATTATAGTTTGTAAAAAAATCTTATTTTTCCAATTTAATATTTTCTTGCCTTTTCTTGTCTTAAAAAGTATTTTTAAAAAAATTTTTAATGTGGGGACCAGCAGTTAGTGTAATGACTATGTTGCTGGACTCCCACATGGTCGACCGTGGTTCGAGTCCCGGACCTGGTGGCTTAAACTCACGCCGGGCATGTGTGCATGCGTGCCCAAGATCCCGAGAGGAGAATGGAGGAGAAGGGATTGCGGCGTGGCCATCCCCCTGGGGGATGATTTCTCACTTTCTGTCTCTCTGTCTCTCTCTGTCTGTCTGGCAAGCACACGTGCCCTATAGCAAAAACCTCTCAAAAAAAAAAAATTTTTTTTAATGTGGGGGAGAGGTTTTCTTTAGTTTCTTGTTTTGCTTTCCCTGAATTTTGAGTAAAATTTTGAAACTGCTTGCGTATCTCATCGATGCTAAGAGGAACAGCACCCCCTACTCCCACCTCAACTTGGCCTGGAGAGAAGCAGAGCTGCAGAGAACTCCTGGTGCAGCCTCCTGAGTGAATGTGAACCCTGAAAGTGAGGACTCCCCGGGGCAGAGAGCTGGGCCCCTGAACCGGCTCCCTTGTACACCCCTCTTTCTGGAGCTTGCTTCCATCAGACCCTCTGCTTGCCTTCTAGATGGGGAAAAGTACCCTGCTACCCATACAGCTGTCTTGTGGACCCGATATGACTCTGGGGCCTGTGTGGCCACCTGGTCCCTGACTTTTTTTTTTTTTTTTTTTAGAGGTTTTAGCTATAGGGCATGCCCTTGCCAGAAAGACAGAGAGAGACAGAGAGACAGAAAGTGAGAAACCATCCCCTGGGGGAATGGCCACGCCACAGTCCCTTCTCCTTCATTCTCCTCTCGAGATCTTGGGCACACACGCACACGTGCCCGGCGTGAGTTTAAGCCACCAGGTCTGTCTCGAACCACAGTCGACTACATGGGAGTCCAGTGACATAGCCACTACGCTAACTGCTGGTCCCTGGTCCCTGCTTTTAACACTCCTTGCTCAGGTCAAAAGAGTGGCAAGATCCAGACCCCAGCATTCAGATCACGTAAGAAGTCAGAATCACCCAAGAAGAAACAGTGTCTCTGGCTCGTTGCCATTTTCACAGCTCTTGAGGAATCACGCCAGAGGCCGATTTATCAGGGTGAGCAACCCACCCCTGTCCTGGAGAAAGAGGATCACTCAGCAGGAGAGAAGCAGAACAGGAACGGGACCCAGTTCTTTCACTCTCACTAACGAGCAGCCTCCTGATTTGTATGACACGTTGGCTTCGGCGTCCCCCAGAATGCCACTTTGCATTTTATCATTAGAGAATCATTCCTCTGACCTCTCCCTTCAGTCCTTTGATTTGTAAAAGTTTATTTATTTCTTCCATGAATGAGAAAGACAGAGAGAGAGAAAGAGAGGGAGACAGAGAGACAGCATCCTTCACACAGACCTGAACCTGTGATTCACCCCAGCTTCAGCCAGCCCAGATCATGGGCTCACATGTGTCCAGTGTACTCAGGGAGGTTTCTGGTGGCAAACCTGGAACTTTCCCATGCAGGTCCGAGTGGTGTCGTGTTCTTCTGCTGTACCATCACCCCCACTCCTATTCCTTTCATTTATTATTATTTTTTTTTATTTTTTATTCCTTTCATTTTAATAGCATGTTTTTGGAGTATTGAGGTTGTTCAAATAAATACCCAGAGGAGCTTCCTAATTGAGACTGCTATCAGCTACTAACACCTTAGAGTGTTAACGAACCCAGCTACTGACTGAAAATCCTACAGCAAGCATGGTGGGCAGAGGTGAAGAGCAGAACACGGTATAGGCATGAAGAAGACAGACCGCGCCGTGGCTGGGGCACACAGCGATCTCAGGTTTCTAGAGGGAGGTGCTGTGACACCCCTGCTAGTGTTTGGCAAGGCCTGGCCCACCTTTTGGGTTTGATTTCGCCTTTGCCCACAGGGAAGGTGCTCTGCCTGCACTGCTCAGTGCCTTACAGGCTCAATGCTTTTGCTACTAGGATCTAGCTTGTGAAAGGCTGCTTTTAGCAAACTAAGGACAGAGAGGTCTGAAATTAGTTATCTGAGGGGAGGATAAGGGATGGATGGCCATGAGATGATACTTTAAGGAGGAAACACTTTCTGGGCTAGGGATTCCCAGGGATTTGGATAACACCCCCACCTCAAAGACAAAGCATGCCTTTGTGATGTTTGCAAGTAAAGCTTCGAGAAGGCTCTGAACCCAGAACAGAGGCTATGCACATTACAGCCTGCACGGTTCTCAGGGGGAGGGTGTAAGAGGGTGAGCAGACCAGAAAGAGGGGAGCGGGGACAGAGGCAGGAGTCAGATGCTTTGCCAGGGGACAGAAGGAAGAACAAGAAACACAGGCTGGTACCGAAAGGCACAGGGAGCAAAGCAGTGTCGAAGGAGGCATATTTTAGTTCTGGGATGAGGTTGGGGAGCCAGGCAATCTCACGGCCCTCTCCACAGCTCAGTGATGTTTGTGGTGAGTGGGATTGTGAGTGCAACTGTAGGGGGTGCTGGATCTGCCTCTAGGTGGACGAAGAGACAAAACAGAAACGACACAGGGGACAGAAATGGGCAGACAGGTCTTTGGGCGCTGTCTCGGTTACACTTTATTTCCTGTAGTCCCTTCACTACCCAAAGACGCCTGGATTCTCCAGCAAGGTGGCAGGCAGAGGTGTAGCGGGGAGCATGGAGCGGGCACAAAGAGCTTGTACTGAAGGAAGACTTCGGTCAATAGCCACGGCTCAGTTCCTGACGTTTCCCTTCGGTAGACACGTAGCTGGTGTGCTCCCAGACTCAGGGGTGATTCACAGCACCTGGGCTTGCCCTGACACCCTGTCACATCGTGTATGAAGCCAAGCTGGTGCTGAGAGGTCAGAGGAAATGATGACCTTGGACAAGGCCGGGCCGGGCACTTACTGTACAGGTCAGTTTCATCCAGGATCTCTGACTTGATGATCTCCTCTATGATGTCCTCCAGCGTGACAATGCCCATGACCTCATAGAAGGGGTCCCCTTCTCCCTCATTATTCACCCGCTGGACAATGGCCAGGTGCGATTTTCCTGGAGAGGAAATAAAGTCACAAGTAAGTGTCTGAGACAGTTTGG